TACTACAGTAATGAATACGAGATAAATATCTTTTATGTATTTATTTATTACTTAATTAGTCACGTGTGTTCATTTCAATTGATACAAACTTTTAAAACAATATAAATAATATTAAAAGATATGTGTGATAAGATGCACGAATTTTAAAATTAAAGAAAAAAAAAATACAAGAATAAAGATGATTAGCTAAATTCCGTAAGATACATACAATGTATACGTATAAGCACAAACCTACATATACTTATGTAGCACTTTGACTCTTTGATCATATGATGCGTCAAAAATATTTACAAAAAGCACCTTACAGGAGATATAAATACAAAGTTTTGAAGATAATTTTACTTCATATATTTAGGAAGTCAATACACAATTGACAATACCATGGGACAGCTAGTCTAATTTTTAAGAGTACTATCGAAAAGTAATTTATTTCTTGTGGAGCCTAATTTCAAGGAAAAATACACATTTATCATTTACTCCTATATCTTTTATACTACTTTCTTCTCATTTATCTGGTTTATTGTAGATAAATCATTTATTGTACTACACATTTATCATTTATTGTAGTACACATTAATTATTTATTAAAAAGTAAATTTACTTTCGATAAAGAATAATATAAAAATATCATTCAAAGAAAGAATAAAATGGTCTTTCAGCTTTCGTAGGGTGTATTTACTTTGGGCTTTGGGTGTTACACCCTGTGCGTCCCAAGGCAACGTATAATGAATATGAGACTTGTTAATCATGATTTAAATGAGTTTAAAGTCATAATATGACTATATAGGATGTTTGGATAGAAAATATAAAGTTTGGGAAAAATCGGATTTAAGTTGCGGAAAAACCGACTAAGAATTTGCCTTGTAATGGAGCTTTTTAGAAATAAATTTCGTGTGATATATGAGGTCTTTTTGGGACATATTATACACCAAATTGAAGGTCTTGGAATGTAGTTTCCAATGCACTTAACCGTTTGTTCATACGACATCCGGGTAAAAAGATATAAGCGTCGGAAGATGAGCCAATGCGAGGGTGCCAAGCTAGCACCTCTTTGACTTTTCAAAAGTTTATATATAGGTTTTACCTCGTCTCTCTCTTCACTTTTACATAGAGCCCGACCAGAGAACACCATAAAACCCTATACTAAAGCTCTCCAAAGAGTTTCAAAGAATACTAACATCCAGAGTACAAAATCGAGAAGCGATAACATCAGAACGATCCCTACGACGTAAGTATCATTATACCGTCTCTCTTTTTTCTTTGTAGTTTCAATTTTTGCAAGATACTTCATATTTAAGAAACATGTAACTTCTGTAATTAATTTTTTAAATATCAAGGAAGGTTGATAAATTGGTTTCCTAATAGTTAGAACTCACGGGACGGTGATTGGAAGTCCTGAGTTCGATTTTTTTCCACTTTTAGTGGACTGTTTTGTAGTCCATTTGTTCTGGCCTATTTTGCTGCTGATTTATGGAGTTTGAAAGGATAAAAAAGCATAGAGAAACACCACATATGGTAGGGTAGTAGGTTGGTCGCTCGTCGTTGCATTTTCAGGCTAATTGATAAGTTGTTGATTGGGTGTGTTATGGTATATTTGAGGCTTTTGCTGTATTGAAGGTACCCGATTGTAATTAGGTTGGTTTTGAGTTGCTTATTGTATTGTGTTTGTATCTCGACTATAGTAGGCTTGGGGGAGCAGTAAAATCAGGGGAAATGCAGCTAGCCTTCAAACGCGGGCGGAACTTCACTCTTTTTTAGGAGAGATGCCTACGTACCTTCTCTCAAGTCCCACGTAGTTCACAGTTAATCAGTTTTCTGGCTAATATCTGCTGGTCATGGGACGAATTAGAGTACTTCAACTTGGAAGCTGAAATCCTACCTTTGATATGCCACTTGGATCTCACTCTCCTGAAGTGCTATCCTAAGTGCGTACTGGTTCATCACCGACGGGTGATTTCTGATCACGTAAAAAAAAACCTCGTTCTATTCGTTTTACTTTAGAATCGACTTAACGTTTGAGATACGTAATACACTAACGCCATCTAAGTCGTACATGTATTTCTTTGTTATAGGGTTGGCGCGCTAGTTATCATAAGCTTGTTGTAGAGTTGCATTGACGACTTGAGGTATGTTAAGGCTATCCCTTCTTTTCTTTTGGCATGATCCATATGGTACAACGAAACGAGCAAGCACACAACTTTCACAAATGATTCTATTCTTAGAAGTACTAGGGTTGCCTATATTCTGGATTCTCCATACGTCCTACTATCATATCGTCTGTTCATGGGTCTCATGACGTTCCGAGAGATCTTATTGACTTACTTCATTATGCATTGCATCCATTTATACATGTATATTGACCCATGACCAGATGGCGTTATATACGCGTATAGTATATGCATATGGGGTATGGGGAAAGGTTATGGCGTTATATACGCACCACCACCTGATCAGCTGGTATACGTTTATGATTTCACCCATAGAGGCTGAGATGATATGATGGGATGCCCTCAGAGGCTTGATGATGTTAGCTACGCATATACCTATGCATGACATGACATTTATACGCATATGCATGACATTATAAATGTTTCATGATTCACAGAGCTATTCAGACTTACATGTTGAGTCCTTTACTCCATGTTTCTTTCTTGTCTTTTATATACTGATTTTTATGCCTTACATACTCGGTAATTATTCGTACTGACGCCCCTATTTCTTGGGGGCCTGCGTTTCATGCCCGCAGGTGCATGTAGATAGGCTGACAGTCCCCCTTCTTAGGATCCTTGCTCAGCGAGAGTTGGTGTGCTCCATTTGATCCGGAGCTGCTATTGAGTTTTGGTACGATATTTTTGTATACATAAGGGTATGACGGGGCCCCAGTCCCGTCCTTTATATAGTGTACACTCTATTAGAGGTTTGTAGACATTCATGTGTAGTTAGATAGTATGTGTCCTTGTCGGTTCGCCCTACCGTATTCCGTATGTATATGTATATATGTCTTTTGGGCATATTTTTCCGCGTATGTTATTCACATGATTCAGTAGTTTATTACTAGACGTTATGCATGACCTACACTTATTTTATGTTTATATCTTAGATGTATGCTTAGGGGTGTTCGATAGGTAGAACTCGGGTACTCATCACGCCCCATCGGTTTGGGTGGTGACATTGGGCCTTAATACTTAAAATATATGATCATCATAATTAAATAAATACTCATATTTATGCTCACTCTAATTTGCAACTCTGAAGATTTAAAATATTTAGGCCTCATTTGCTTTTTTTTTAAGATTAAGACGTCTGAATCTGAATACACATCCGAATATCAAGATGTGTATTAAGATTAAGACATTTGAATCTGAATACACATCTGAATATATTAAGATGTGTATTAAGATCTGAATACCAAAAATTAAGACTGTTTGATTTTTAACATCTGAATGCATAAAATTTATCTTTATTTGAAAAAGATCTAATATTCTATCAATAAAATATATAGTTTTTTAAAATATGACAGTTGTTGGTGGTGATGGCTAACGGGTGAATGCCGACTAAAGGCGGTGGTTGGTGGTAGTTTTGGTTGATGATGGTGGTTCATGCTAGTAGCTAGCAGTGATTGGTAGTGGTGGCAATTATGATTGATGATGGTGGTGGTGGGTGGTGATAGTTAATAATGGCGGGTGGTGGTTTGTGATTGAGGAAGGTGGTGGTACGTTATAATGATGGGTGGTGCTGGATGTGGTTGTTAATGGTGATGGGGTGGTTGGTTGTGGTAGTTGAGGTGGATAAGTGTCGACTGTGGGTTAGAATGATGGTGGTCGGAGTGGTGGGATGCTGGATGGTGATGGTCGATAATGGTGGCGGCTATGATTGAGGATGATGGTGGCGTGGTGGTGGTGGCTGAGTATGGTGGTGGTGGCGGTATGGTGGTAGTTGATAATGGTAGGCGGTGTCGGCAGTTAATAATGAATATGTAATATCATCTTAATGAAATTAAGTCTCTGTTACATATCTTAATCATACAGACATATTCAGACCCATTAAGTGATTGTTAAGTAAAAAAAATAAATACACTTAATGATTAAGATCTGAATAATTAAGATTCAGACTTTAAAAACAAACACACTTAATGTTTGAAATCTGAATGATTAATATTCAAACCTCCATTAAGTGCAAACAAACGAGACCTTACTTAATACTCTAATATAAACATCGAGCGAGCGCGAGTTGGGGCTTTGAGCAAAGAAGAGATCTTTACATTTGGCCAAGTCAAAAGAATTGCCGATTCAATTGGCTAAACGTTATAAACCGGTAATTATTTCTTAAGTGGATTAGTTCTGAAATAGTTGACCATCTTAACCAGAACCATAATCCTTAAAATTACTTTGGTTGGTTCCATTTTCATAATTGACCAAAATATTCCCATACTTTGTTAGATAGTAGTAATATAACGAGTTGTACTTCACAGTAATACTGCAATCAAAGGATATACTTAGGGCCCGTTTGGTCATAAGAAAAGTTTTACTTTTTTTTAAAAAATATTTTCACTTTTTTCGGAATTAGTGTTTGGCCATGAAAATTTTAAATTTTACTTAAAAGCTGCTTTTTAAAATTTTCATTTCAATTCACTCACCAAAATTTAAAAACAGCTTCAAATTGAATTCATGTCCAAACACAACTCTAATTTTTAAATATTATTTTCACTTGAACTTTTTTTTTCACTTTTTCCAGAATTTCAAGATTCTTATATCCAAATGCCCACTTAATTAATACTAATTTATAATGAGTTAATAAATTATATACTAACTTATAATTAAGTTAAAATCTCAATAATAAAACTAAATAAATTTTAAAGCTAGTATAATTAAGTAAAATCTCATTCCTTTTTACATAAGTCAAAAAATATTGGGCTTATTTTGCAATTCCACTAATTTCCTCTACGAGAATGAGTAAAAGGGTAAAAGCGTCTTTACATAATCACCACCTATCCTAAAAAGGCAGTATCCTCATTTCTCTTCCACTATTACTTGGAAAACTTTTCACTCCACTTGGCTCCCTTTCAATCCTACACCATGGCCACGCGCCACCTTCTTAACTTCACGCGCCGCTCGCGAATCACTCGTTTTTCCCTTCCACCACCATGTCTAACACTCTCTTCCCGATCCACCACCTCCGTAACCACCTCCCCACCCTCCTCCCCACCCTCCCCACCTCCCCCAGACTTCATGATCTACGATCGCTTAGCTGAACAAGTCAAATCAAAGATCAAGCGCCTCGAAGACCCTAACCCTAAGTTCCTCCAGTACAATTCCCCGCACCCTACCGTAGCGGATCACACCTCAATTCTCTCATCACCGGAGACTAAAATCACCACTCTCCCTAACGGCCTACGTGTCGCTACTGAATCGAACCTGTCATCCTCAACGGCTACTGTCGGAGTTTGGATCGACGCCGGATCTCGATTTGAGACGGAGGAGAATAACGGCGTCGCGCATTTCCTTGAGCATATGATTTTTAAGGGAACGGGGAAACGGCCTATTAGGGCATTGGAAGAGGAAATTGAGAATATGGGAGGGCATTTGAATGCGTATACTTCTAGGGAACAGACTACGTATTTCGCTAAGGTTTTGGGATCTGATGTGCCAAAGGCGATTGATATACTTGGGGATATTTTGCAGAATTCGCTTTTGGAGGAAGATAAGATTGTTCGGGAGCGTAGTGTGATTCTTCGGGAAATGGAAGAGGTATGAGGAAAACAGCTAATCTTTCTCTGATTCACAATGTGTACTGGAATTAGTCTTACTTTGTTATGATTTATTATTGTTCTCCCCCTGCCCTGAAAAAGTGATGGGACAAAGCTCGAAGTATCTATGTTTGGCCTTAATTCGGATATCTGACCACACTTTCTGAAATAAAACTTACTTGATTAGAAACTAGTATACAAGCAAAAGATAAGGCACAATGGAAGAAAAAGATCTATATAGGAATACCAGTTAGTAGAGAATATGTTTTAGTCATGTTAGCAGTTCTACTTTATGTCCCATGTTTTTTTAGGAATTTTCTAGCCTTTTTATTTGATATTTTATTGGCATGAGATGAGTTTAAATGGGGTAACATGGTCAATGAGGATTCATAAAGCCAATACCTCAACTTGTTTGGGATTGATGCATTGTTGTTGTAGAAACTAGTTCAAGACAATCTCTTATAATCAATAAGTAATATCTTGGAAGTGTGTGAAAAAACTGCAGTTAAAGAAAAAGATAGATTGATTCCCTGAATATTGATAGTTTACTCCTTTAAAATGGGACCAAGGGAGTATCAGTTATTCTTAAGATTTGCAAAAAGAAATTATTCTTGTGTTGAAGAAAGTATGATTGAAATGATTGAAATGATTTCAATGATTGTTAGAGCAAAAGAATTTGGGGATGCAATTATCATATAAATACACTGCCATGGTTCTCGAGAGGTTTAAGTGATTCTTTGAGCTGGAAGAAGAAATTGCTGCTTGTAGGAGCTCTTTTAATTTCTAATCCAACTGAAGTTAATGATTTAGAGTACTTATCGTTTAGTTGGGAAGTTGGTTACTTAAGTTGGATAGCTAACCAGAAATAGCGCCCTGCTCTAACAATTTGATTCAGATTATAGTGAGTCTACTTTGTGCTTGTAGGTTCTATCTTTTTAGCTTTCAGAACAGTAGTTTAAGGATAAATTTAAAATGATTTTGTCAAAGCAAATATCTGCAGAGCCTCAGTGAAAGCTGTTACATTTATCTAAAAGTCCTTGAGAAGTATCTTGAGACCATTTATAATGAGATGAAAACGTGCCATGACGGTTCTGCTTGCCTATTTGGGCAAGATACAATAAATTTGGTGAATCTGATCATGTAGAGTTGGATTAAGCAGCTCATCCATATCGCGTGCAGTGTGCTCCAGTGTTTTTGAGAGCGAGAAGCGCAAAAAAGCGACAGGGGCTCGCCTCGCTTCAAAAGCGAAGCGCACGCTTCATTGAAGTGAAGCGCAATTCTTAAAAAACATAGAGTAAACCTTGCAAAGAGACAAACATATATTTATAACATATACATGTTATAATCCTTGCAAAGAGATAAACTGAAAATATAACATATATATATATATATATGTATATATATATATATATATATAAAACTGAATTATATATATATATATATATATATAAAACTGAAATGAGTAAAACCTTAATTAAATTAAATTTAGTAACTGAAATCAGTCGCATTTCAAAGAAAAGGGAAAAAACTGAAAAAAATAATAAGAATTATGTTTAATATACTAAAATCAGCAAAGCAGCAACATTTCAAAACATAATAATTAAGTTTATAAACTGAAATACACACAAAAATTAATAAATGAAGGCTAAATAAGAAGAATAAAAGGGAAAAAAAAGGATAGCTGCCTACCATAGCAGTGAGCAGCAGTCGACGGGAAGAAGAAGAAGAAGAAAGAAGAGAGAAAAAAAGGAGAAGAAAGAAGAAGAAATTACCTGGAGGCTGGACGGACTAGCAGTGATGCTCGATTGAATGGAAAAAGAGAAGAAATGTCTTCACTTTGGGGTCTATGTTTTGTATAATATAAAAAAGACCCAATCTCTTTTTAAAAAACAATTGACCCCTTTTGACTGAAGCGATCGCTTTTTCGCTTCTCGCTTCTGTGCTTCTCGCTTCAGGTGTTGAAGTGATCGCTTTTGATGGTCGAGTCGCCTCAGCTTCCGAAAAGCGATGAGCTGTTGCTTCGCTTCTCGCTTATCGCTTTCTTAAACACTGGTGTGCTCTGCATTTGCTGGTGTATAGTTTTCTAATTTTTGGCATGATGTGTTGTTCCTTTGTGTTATTCTTGACTGGTCAAAGTGGTGGTATTTCATGTTAATCTTTAGCCTGTGCAGAAACAGGCTATATCTGACATGAAAGCTACATGTACTTTCATCACTTTCTTAAAACCTGCTTTCATTTCTCTGCTGCCTGAAAAGTTAGGAATTGGGGGACTTAGTGATTGGAACTGGCACATGATTGGGAATGCAAAAGTTTTCTGGTGCTCCAGAAAGTATCCTCTTTTGGATGAATGGTTGTACAAAAAATGTTTGAGCCATTTTATTTTTTTTTGAAATGGAAAAAAAAAGGCTCAAACATTTTTTGTACAACCATTCAAACATTTTTTGAGCCATTTTATCATATCGATGCACTGTAATTGATTGTCCAAGATGTTTACACATATTGAGATATCTGATTTTGTTCACTGGAGAATGGCGGGATAGGCTAGGCGAGATTTAAAAGCTATAGAGAACAACCGTCTTAGTAAGATGAATTTGCAAATTTATGATTGATTAAAAGAATTTACAAATGGATAGAAAATTGTCACTAACAAATTCTTAGTTGATGAAATGGTTAATTGATTAAAAAGAAAGGGAAATTTTGGCGGGGTATATGTGTCAATCAATCAAAGTGCCAATAACTTGGTCAATATTTTTTCTTTTTTCGGCTTGATATTATCTCTAGCTTCATTCCTGTAGCCAGTGTTATAGTGTTCCTCGCTGTTTGCTCAGAGGCTATCTTTGCTTGCAAATCATTTTGGCTCGTAAATCTGTAGGAGGACAATGGTCAGTAATTGAAATGATTTCAAAATGCTGGTATCCCTAGTTAGTACCTAGTCAGACTAGACAATAACCTCTTTAGCTTCTCCAATGATGGATGACGGTAGTTGTCCATGTAATGTGTCGTTGGTTTGCTTACAATTCAAATCTGTTAAAGAGGTGTTATTGTTCATGTTAAGTCAGGTAGGTTTCCTTATGTTACACTGTTAATTCATCTTTGTAGTTTATTAGAGGAGTTTGTATGTGTACTCTGCAAGTAATTGTAGTATGTGACAATATCTGCTTCTGCTTTCTCTCTGAAGTGCAAATTTTTTCTTTAATCGCAATATTTACCAGTCTCCATGTTGGACAATCTTCTTGTAGGTGGAAAAACAACCGGAGGAAGTCATCTTTGACCAGTTACATACTACTGCATTCCAGTACACTCCATTGGGTAGAACTATTCTTGGACCTGCCCAGAACATTGAGAAAATGACAAGAGCTCATATTCAAGATTACATTTCAACCCACTATGGTGCTCATAGAATGGTACAGAACCTGTCATAGCTGATGTAGTATCTGTTGGTGACTTCCTTGCTAATTTGCTCACCTCTATTTCTAAATTGAATTTCATTGTTTTCATCTGGGGTCGTGTCAAAATGATCTCCATTTCCCTGGAATGTGCATCTTCTCTATAGGAGCAAAGATTGAATGATCCCATTTTTGCTCTTCCTTTTATCAAAATGAATGACAGTTAATCGTTTTCCAGTGTGGTGTTACATTACCTTCCATTCCAAGCCCTAATCATAGATATCTCGAATACAGAAAAGATCACGTGTACGTGAAAAAGGGGGAGTTAAAGTTTTGTTAGTTATGTTCTCAAGCAACTTGTGCCAGACTAAAAGCGACATTTAACTCTTTGCTGTAGGTAATTTCTGCTGCTGGAGCTGTGAAGCATGAAGATGTCGTTGAGCTAGTGAAGAAACATTTTACAAAGCTATCATCTAATCCTATTACCACTTCCCAATTGGTAGCAGATGAGCCAGCAATATTTACAGGTTCAGAGGTGTGGATTCATTACTTAGTTATTACTTTTTTCATTTTATGTGCTTTACTTTTAGTCTTTTACATCTTTACTGATTTTGTCCTCCTACATAAATAGATACGTATCATTGACGATGATCTGCCTCTTGCTCAATTCGCTGTTGCATTTAGTGGAGCATCATGGACAGACCCTGATTCCATAGCTTTGATGGTCATGCAACAAATGCTGGGATCATGGAACAAAACTTCAGGAGGCGGGAAGCACATGGGGTTGGTCCTTCTCATTTACTTACGCAACAAACAAATTACTTTTATATGCTTCAAGAAAAAAAATTTCTAGCCGGCAGCCAATGTGGCCCTTACAGAAAAGACAATAGTGTTTGTTGTTTCTTAATGCTTCATCTATTATTTCCATGCATTTCGGGGCGTTGTTTGGAGATTTTGATTAAATTGTTCTGTTTTCCACAAAATAGAAAGTTGTTGAATTTGCCTTGCTAATTTCTCTTATTTCATTGGTATTCTTTGAACAGTTCAGAGCTTGTCCAAAGGGTGGCCATTAATGAAATAGCTGAGAGTGTGATGGCATTTAACACCAACTATAAAGACACAGGGCTGTTTGGTGTCTATGCTGAAGCCAAGGTCAGTGACTTCAGATATATGGTTCCTACATGCTTGGAAAAACCAATGCTTCCTTTTCTCTCAGACTCTCACATGTATATAGAAATGTTGAGAAGTTCCTGCTTATCTTGAATTACTCTAGTATTAGCCTCTTTTTTTCCTCTTGGAAGTTTGTTTTTACTCAAACTATTTGTATCACTTGAATGGTTAGGTAGAACTGCCAATCTATGTATATTAACTTTTTCAGCTGGTCTTCTCCTTTTGGTGCAATTTTTCTTGGTCAGTGGAAGGGAATGTGTGCATTTAGACCTGGAAACCTGAGTCCATTATGTTGGATTAGTAAGAGCAATTACTCCCAAAAGTTGGCTTCTTCCCTGCCTCTCTTTTGCTATGGACTCGTTGGGCCTTCTTCTTCTGTTTGTGCAATACCTATAAAGTATTCTTTTGTGCTGAACAGATTTCGGTGTCACTATTTTCTGAAACTTTGATGATAATCAAGGAATCTCGGGCAAATCTTTAAATAAGAAACTATAAGAGATGGATATTTCCCAAAGAAAAGGCTAAATTGTTGGAGGGCATCACTCGTTGCTCTTTCTTTTTTCTTCTCCGGCTTTTCTTGTGGACGGTCTTTGTATACTTGGATTACTAATTTAACAGTGCTGAATTGATTTGGAGAAACTGTGGGTGTCCATGCTGCTCATTGTGTATAGAAACACACAGGAATGTCGATGAAATACTTAAGGTTGGGATTACACATTCATTGGAGAAGGAGATTGGGTTCCTTAAAGGAGCATTTAGAGTTTATCCTAGCTGAAATGGGCTGGAAAATTAAGTAAACTTGAGATGTTCTAGAGGATTTGTGGTGGGCGAGGCTGGCTTTGATCCTTTAAAAATCTTGGAACAATGTAGCTGTGAGAAGCTTTTGGTGCAGTCCAGTCTAGTCACTTAAGCTTCTATGATCTTCCTTGGTCTAGGATCTCTTCAGATTCTGATCCAGAATATGCTAGTTTTGAGGATGATAAAACTGAGAAATTAAACACAAGTAATGACTTTAGTGTACCTACATTCCAGGAAATTGTGCACCACAAATAAGAGTCCTGGTTCAGCTGTCCGTTCTGAAGATCACTATGGGTTAATGTTTTTGTCATATAAACAGATAGTATTTTGGTGAAGCAAAGATAAATTTTCCCTCCAATATCACCAAAATAGCTCAATCAGCTCATAGTTGTAATTTTGAAATCCAGAGGTCATGTAGTTGTGCTGATTGATTATTGTAATCAATAAAGAGAACATTGACAATTTTAGGTTATTGTTTCTTTTCTGAACTTCTCATGTCTTTGTGTTGCCTATCCTCCTCTTTGCTCCCAATTACATAGAAAAAATTGAGGATTAACAGAAATGAAAAGAAGAAAGGAAAAGTTATAGAATCTACATTACGTGGACCCTTTAGTTACACTCAAACATACTGTTTTTGGTGGCGATCTGACATGATTTCCGTGCCTCTCTGATCCGACACGCCCCCACGTCTTTGGTCTGGAGTGCAACGCGTGATGTGTAGGTTAGGCGTATGTTACGGATTCGAACCTTTAAGTGGAGAAGGGTGGAAGGGCGGGATCATTATCCAATGTGTCTCGAACTGTGCGCCAGTAATGCTCAGAGATTTCTCGGTTATAAAAAAAAAGACACCATCTCGGGCATGTCAGTACGGAAGAGTTGCCTCTCAGTGTATACTTTTTATTTCGCATAATCTTCTGAGAGAGTTGATGGTCCGTCCTCCCTCGGTGAGAGAGACTTCTTCATTGAGATAGATGCAGCAGCAGGACAGCTCAGTGGCAACTCTTATCACTAGGGTTATGTTTAATTGGAAAAAAAGAAGGTTTTGCTTAACTATGAGATGAACTGGAAAACAGATTGCAATACTTTAATAGGGGTGGATTGCCCAATAATAAATTATGAATCAGGATATCTAAGACAACAACAACAACAACAACAACATACCCAGTATTATCCCACACCGTGGGGTCTGGGGAGGGAGGGTAGTGTGTACGCAGACCTTACCCCTACCTTGTGAGGATAGAGAGGCTGTTTCCAATAGACCCTCGGCTCAGGAAAGCATTAGCACCACATTAATGAAAATATAGACAAGAAAGGACAATACCAAAAAGCCATATAAAAGCAGAACAAAAACAAGACAGTAAGGTGATCAACAATGAAAGAAAACAACGGTTAGTCATAAAAACCTACTACCAACAGAAAGCGAGACTGCGTGCCAATACTACTGTTATGAACACTCTAGACTAACTACTCTAATGCCCTAATCCTCGACCTCCATACCTTCCTATCAATGGTCATGTCCTCGGTCAGCTGAAGCTGCGCCATGTCTTGCCTTATCTCCTCTCCCCACCTCTTTTTTGGCCTACCTCTTCGCAGGCCCTCCAATGTCAACCTCTCACACCTTACCGGGGCGTCTGTGCTCCTCCTCCTAACATGACCAAACCACCTAAGCCGCGCTTCCCGCATCTTGTCCTCAATAGGGGCCACACCCACCTTGTCGCGAATAACCTCATTTCTGATCCTATCTAACCTGGTGTGCCCGCACATCCATCTCAACATCCTCATCTCTGCTACCTTTATCTTCTGGACATCAGCGATCTTGATTGGCCAACACTCAGCCCAATACATCGTTGGTCTGACCACCACTCTGTAGAACTTACCCTTAAGTTTCGGTGGCACCTTCTTGTCACACAGAACAGCGGAAGCGAGTCTCTATTTCATCTATCCCGCCCCAATACGATGTGTGACATCTTCATCAATCTCCCCATCCCCTTGCTACTTGAAACTCCCTCTCCTAGGGATGACCTGCGAATCCAGTCTCACCTCCCCTTCCCCTACTTGAGTCTCGCCACTGAACTTACACTCCAAGTATTCTGTCTTGGTCCTGCTCAACTTGAAACCTTTAGATTTCAGGGTTTGCCTCCGTACCTCTAATTGCGCGTTCACACCCTTCCCCTACTTGAGTCTCGCCACTGAACTTACACTCCCAAGTATTCTGTCTTGGTCCTGCTCAACTTGAAACCTTTAGATTCCAGGGTCTGCCTCCGTACCTCTAATTGCGCGTTCACACCATCTCGCGTCTCGTCAATCAATACAATATCATCTGCAAATAACATACACCACGGCACTCCCCCCCCTCCCCCGGATGTGGCGCGTCAGTACGTCCATCACCAGAGCAAACGAAAAAGGGCCGAGTGCCGACCCCTTGGATGTGGCGCGTCAGTACGTCCATCACCAGAGCAAACAAAAAAGGGCTGAGTGCCGACCCCTGATGCAACCCCATCATAACCGGAAAATGGTCCGAGTCCCCACCCACCGTTCTCACTCGGGTCTTTACTCCATCATACATGTCCTTAATCAACCTAACACAGGCAACAAGTACACCTCTAGCCTCCAAACATCTCCATAAAACCTCCCTCGGAACTTTATCGTACGCTTTTTCTAAGACAATTAAGTTTAAAAGAAATTTGTGTTAGCGTGATACACACGACGAGAAAACAGAGTTACGCTCACTTACATCATGCTTAGAGTTCAATAACTATGATGTTTTAATGATATAGAAACATATTTGCACAACCCCAGAATTACCTGATCCCTTTATTTGTAGTGGTGCTTCTATCTGCATCCTTGAATCCTTAAATTTATGGGAAAGCGAAGCTGACCTATATATTCGTGCTCATATTTAATACCCACACCTGAGTCTGTGTAACATAGTATAGAATACATCTATTGCTTGTCAATTTTGTTTAGAGAGAAATTTCCACTACCTCTGTTTATCCAAATCTCAACTATTCCTGTATCATTAACTTCATATTTGATGAGATTTGCCGTTTTGTGGTCATTGAACTTTTGTTATCACGGTTCATTAGTTCTCCTGTGAATTGGGAACTGGGTAAGGCCATTCCTTCCTGAATTTACAGTAGTAATTTGAAATGTAAAAGCTAGTGATTTAAAATCATATTTCGTTGTACAATTTAGAGGCATTTTTTTTTTTTTAAATTCTGCTCAATTAAGAAACTGTGACTCTAATAATTGTTGTATTAGTAAGATTGCTATTTGAAGCAATTCAAATTCTTCATAACTTGACTAATGACCTATGCATAGGCCCGAAACTTTACTCATCCATGTTTTCTGCTTGTTACAGCCTGATTGCTTGAGTGACTTAGCTTATGTCATCATGCAAGGGATATGCAAGTTATGTTACAGAGTGTCAGAAGCTGATGTCATTCGCGCACGTAATCAGGTATTCGTTTACTCCTCAGCTATTCTTTTGGACCTATTTTAAAGGAGAGCTTATTGCCTCTATTTAATTTGAAGGGGCCTTATTGCCTCTATTTAATTTGAAGGGACCTTTCCCTGTTGACTGGCATGTCTTTTTAGCAATATCAAGAACTTATATTTTATGTACTTAATTTCTGCAGCTCAAATCTTCTTTGATGCTCCACATTGATGGATCGGGCCCTACTGCTGAAGACATTGGACGGCAGGTAAAATCAAGTAGAAAGTATTTCTAACTAGAAACAAGCACAGGAGAGAGCGTTTGGCTCCCTAGGTCAGAGACATTTTTTAGTCTCCTTGTTCTTAACTTCATCAAATAAAGCTACTATCATCATAAAAAATAGAGTAAGGCTCTGCTATAGAATGAAATAGAGGGAGCAGCAGCTCCTCCAAAGCCAACCAAGAAGAAAACACGGATAAGGGTTCAAGAAGAATATGGGAAGAAAATACTCTCTTGGTTCTCCTGATTTAAAAAAGACGGGGCGAGAAGGGAGTGGGAAGAAAATGGGAGGGAAGACTCCATCAGTCACAAATTAACTGGAATTTTCTTCCGAGGCTTAGGCTGTAAATCAAAGTTATGTTTGGTCCCGTAAAAGGGAGGGCAAAGATGAAGGGGATAGACCTTTTGATTTACTTTCTTTTGCAAATTATGGGTCATTTGGTTCTGGTTATTAGATGGAAGGAAAGTAAAAGAGATATGCTTCATCTGAAACCCTTTTCTTTCACTTCTCATCCAATCCTTCATCTTGTAACAACTTTATGTTGAGCTTAAATTAGAGATTTAGCATCTTGGCCTTCAAAAAACTAGGTAACAAGACTAGACCCTTCTAACATCAATACACATTTTGTTTCATGCCTCTGCTGACAGGGTTCTGGGATCACTTACACATTGTGGCAAAAACGTAGCTTTAACTGTCAATTGTTTGATATTACCGTATTTGAGATGAGTCGGAGGAATCATCGAAAGAAACTAGGAACTAAAAAAACTTGTGCCTAGATGCATTGATATTACTGTCACTTTCTTCTAAATGAATGGAACCTGGATGGCTAGATGGTAGAAGCTTTGCCGTAGTTAATTCAATTACCCTCTTTAGTATCTGTGTGCTAGATGCTTTGTGGTTAAAAGGATGACCTTTAATGCATTCTTGTCAACTGATGCTACACTTTGAAATTACTAAATTTACTTATAGTTGAAGTTTTTCTCCCTTTCAGTTAATCACGTATGGCCGCAGAATTCCACATGCTGAGTTATTTTCCAGAATTGACAGGGTCGATGCTGACACTGTCAAGCGAGTTGCAAATCGCTTTATTTTCGACAGGGTAAGTCCTTGAGATCTCCAGTACATCTAGTATCAGTCAATAACTATTTAAAGTTTTAACCCATTTTTAAGAGAGACCGAACTATTTGTCATGATACATTTGAGGAAAGTTAGGTTTAATCTAAAGCTTATTTTCTTCAGTAATACTGAAATAAAAAATAAGTGATTGCACTCGCATTTAACTCCCCATGCTGTAGATTTGCAGGATGTGATTGTTTTTGTTTTATTTTATTATATACATTGGCGAGAATTAACTGTAGGATTGAGCCTTCTTTTCTCCGCTTTTCCCTCTGTAGGACATTGCAATATCAGCAAGGGGACCAATTCAGGATTTGCCTGATTATAACTGGTTCAGACGCAGGACATACTGGTTGCGCTACTAGATTGCTTATTCTTTCCTCATGGCTTAAAGTCATTTTGTTTCCAAATTGGAAGCCTGTCATTGGGCATTATACCACACATGGTCTACAAAAACACTTAGTTAATAAAATAAGTGACAGATTTTGTTTATCACATTCCTTTTTTTGTACATGGTGTTAATGACGAGTAGAAAACACTACTTGCGGAAGCCTTTGGCTGTCAGTTCAGTCAGCATAAATTGGATCTTTTTCTTCTGAAATATATTATGAAAGCATTGGATCTCCCTGTATTAGAATCCTTCGGGTAAAGTATGCCGCTGGTGGTACTGGTTTGTTATATGTATACATACATGCGTAGAGTGCTCTCTCTCTCTCTCTCTCTCTCTCTGCGGTTGCTAATGGTTTTCTTCTGGCAGAATGCTTCGTTTAACCCTCTTAAATTCTGGGGTTTAAGCACCAAGTTACGGGGATTAGGTGGGTCATCCCAGCATTAAATTTGTCATTGTGGGTATTAGTTAAAACATGGATAACATTTATACCAAAATAATGAGATTCTCGATCTCATATATAGGTGGGATTATCTATTTTGGTTATAATTCCAGGAATGGGATAACCTGATTCTGAACCAAATGACACTCAGTGCATTTATATGGATCTTGTACGGTTTAATATACATTTGTAGTTGGGTACATCTGAAGAGTCTGTTTAGTTTGACTTTCACTCCAAGACCCTTGAGGTGGAAGCAACCTCAAGGCTAGTCGAACACACTTTTATGTCTTATATGTATACTTCAAACAAGTAATTTCTCCGTATGTTAAGAATTGAAAATCAAAGTATAGCTATATATTATATATAAAATGCTGGTGAGAATAGAAATCTGAATGCTAACTTCTACATCAATGAATAATTTGAGTCATTGAATTTTGAATCCGAGAAGAAACCCCGTTTCAATTTATTTTCTTACTTCTGTTTCTTGATTTTTCAAGCTTCGCTGCCTCAATACTTCTCGTGCCTCAGTTGTAAAAGAACATATCTTATTTGTGCCTCACCATAGCCTGTTAGGTTATATTACTATTCGTTTTCTCATTTTTGGTAATGGTGGTGTCGGGACCAGTTTATGCATACCTACCTCGACTATTTCACTGGATATTAATTATCTCTCATCGGCACGGCCCTGGAGTAACTCCGCTTAAGCAGATGCAAAAAAAAATCAGATACTAGCATTTTTTGCTCGGCTGGGATTTGAACTTTATGGTCTTTTACACTTTAGTACTAAAGTGCGTGCTAGTTCAGATGTCCTAGAAAATTTTAAGATTAACTTGACTACATATTTAAGAATTTCAACATTTGAATTTGATATCTACTGTTCATCACAATATAAGGTACTTACTTACATGGAATCAAAAGAATGTTCACATGATTTATTTGTATTGTCTATCTGTGTAAAGTGAGTATGCTTAAGCAGAAGACAAGAAATTCTTGAACCACTTCACAGAATTCTTGGGATATCTCTTGAGATTGTCATTGTAATCCACATAATAAAGACCAAACCTAGAGGAGAATCCTTCTTGCCATTCCCAGTTATCCAATAGAGACCACACAAAGTATCCCTTCACATTGCAACCATCTTCTCTGTATATCAAGCAAAATCAAATCTCAACTGTTACAAATGGAACAAATCTTCAACTCATATTGCTTGTATATGTCATTGTAATCCTTGAATTAGTAGATAACTTACCTGATTGAAGCTAACAAACTTGTGAGATAGTCATTATGATACTTGATTCTTTTCTTATCTTTTAGTGCATCTTTTCTAGAGATAAATAGACTATTTGGATCATCCATTCCTGTAAAAGTACAAGAGGAAGTTGGTGTTGCTATATTTCTCTCATATAAATACTTAACATGTTACATATCTTACACAAAGAGGAGCCTTGACGTAACTAGTAAAGTTGCTGCCATGTGACCAAAGGTCACGGGTTCGAGCCGTGAAAACAAGCTCTTGCAGAAATGCAGGGTAAGACTGCGTATAATAGACCCTTGTGGTTTGGCCCATCCCCGAACACTGCGCATAGCAGGAGCTTAGTGCACCAGGCTGCCTTTTTTATGTTACATATCTTACACAACTTACCGTTTTGTGTGATTATAATCGTGGGGTTCCCGTACTTTACACGAATGTAATTCATTAAGCTTCTGATGCCATGAGGTACTATGAATAACCATATTGAATTTGCCTGCAAGTCAAAAAGAACAATAACATCAGTAAGTAAATATTGTTCAATGAGCATAGTGTTAAAACCATATTAACAGCCTCTCTGCCCCAGGATAGGGGTAAGGTCTGTGTACACCCTATCCTCCCCAGACCCCACCCGTGGGAATCCACTCGTTTTGTTGTTGTTATCGTTGTTAAAACCATATTAAGTGTATTCCATTTTGCAAAATTACTTACCCGGTCTGGTATTGGCTTCCCCAAGCTCAATGCTACAAAAGGTAGGGTTAAGTACTGGTTAAGCAATAAAGCGCGATCAACATTACTATTGTATCGAATGAGAGAAGAGGATTGACAACATACGAAGAACGGTAGCACCAGAATCTGAAGTCGTGTCATTGAACAAAAATCCAACCAAGTTAGTGATGTTGCTTCTTGCATACCATGTAGTATATGATTTATGCCTATAAAATCGAACGAACCCTTGAGCAGAGATGACTCTTCTTCAGAGAATTTTGGCAACCGGCTTCCAACTCTGCTGATCATTGTGCTTGGATAGTTACCAAAGATTAATGGCTCAATAAACCTGGATTAGACAAAACTTTCACAGCATCAATTCTTGGTAATCTCTGAGCTCGAATGTGTTGGGAGGTGGGAACAAAGTCCCACATGGAAAGTAGAAAGGAAAAATAAAATAATCTACTTATAAAGAGTTGGATACTCTTAATGGTGTGAGGCCTTTTGGAAAAATCGTGTGGGCTTGGCTCAAACCGGACAATATTACACCATGCCAAGAGTATTTTTGGGCCGTTTTAGTCTAATAACTGGTATCAGAGCCAATGATTTGGCGAGACAAGTACGAGTATGGAGATGACGAAGTGATGGTGTTGGGCCTGACTTAGTGTCTTTGCCCGTCTATGGGCCAGTTTACTACCTGTACCCATAGCTTCAAAAATGCATACACAACCTCTCCTCTAGGATTCGGTGACCATAAATACTCGGATCATGTGGATGTGGAAAGGAAAAAGAAGCGACTTATAAGGAGTTGGATAATCTTTGATGTGAATCCTTTAGGGAAAATCGTACGGGTTTGGTCTAAAGCGGACAATATCACGCCATATTAAGAGCAACAGATTGTAACATGAGTAGATTATCGAATAGATAATATAAGTGCCCGATTTTACATTTGCCACAATTTAGTTGAAGTATGAAACATGAGTCAAAAGTACTTACCAGCCTAGCTGAAAATCCAGTGCTCGTTGTGTTGCTTCGATGTCTTCTTTGTGGTTAGTTGCTGATTCATACCAATACGAATCTAACGATATCCCAATTGACCCTTGTTGATTTTGCTGTCAATATATATCACATGTCATTTTGTATAAAACCATGCTAGAAACAAAGAATGGTACTCTGTAACAAGTTAGTGAAAGTCATGTACTTAATTATTAGGATCAGTACCTTATACTTTTGCCTATAAATGTTCACTGCAGTAGCATGAGCCAAGAGAGCATTGTGTGCAGCAATATAAGGCTCATTACCAGAATTCCCTTCACTACAAAAGGCATGAAGTAGGATAGAGCAACGCCCCGGTGGCTGGCTGCCTAGATCATACCCTTGTTGCACAAAATTATGGGGTTCGTTGAGCGTGATCCAATGCTTCACTCTGTCGCCAAATGCTAGAAAACACGTCTCTGCATATATCGTGAAGTCTTGTCTGCAATGAGTTAAGTGATCTAAGTTTATATTACGTTTTACAACATTTTTTAACAAAGATAGAGAGGTTAAATTAAGGTCCTATTTACATGATGTCTGGACTGAGCCATCCCTTGTATTTATCTTCCAGAGCTTGAGGAAGGTCCCAGTGGTAGAGTGTCACATACGGTTCAATCCCTGCAAAATGAGACTATGATTAGTGAGTTAAAAGTTAGAAATTTGAGTTCATGTAGCAGTGTGTTTTGTATGACTGAAGTCATTCTTCAGAAAATATTTTCAAGAAAATGAGTTATTTTCGTAGGACAATATGGTGTGTTTGGTTGGACGTAAAATATTTTGTGGAAAGAATATTTACTAAAGATCGATAATAGTATTAGCAAATCCGTTAATTAGTATTTTGATTAGAATTTTTGAGTATTTAAGATTGATAATAATGTCTAAGTGTTGGTTAAAGCAGTAATAAGAAACTACGAGTTGAGATAATTGGGCGAAGGGAGGTCAATTTTCACCCTTTTGGTGTAAAGTCTTTTCCTTCAAAAATATATTTTGGCAGCCAAACACCAGAAAATGACTCGGAAACGTCCGAGTGATTTTATGGTGTGTCTCACACAACTGACATTAGTTGTCTCGCACATTTGTGGATCCATATCTTACACATTTGGGTCCACAAAATTCTGAGACCACAAAGTTGTGACTTGTGAAACAAAAAAAGAGACCTCACACAATTAACGTCAGTTGTGTGAGGCACAAAATAAAAAATTTCAAAACGTCCCTAAGCTTACCGTTGGCCAATAACGAATCAATGACTTTGTTATAGTGATCAACTCCAGCCTGATTGATCTTCCCAGAACCGTCTGTAGATAACACATAATTAATCTAAACAATTACAAAATAAGATTTTAAAGATAATAATAATAAAATTAAAAAAAATATAAAAAAGAGGAAGGAACATGATGTTAGAAGTGAAGACTATTTGCCACCAACTCAAATCTCGTCTTTTTTATTAAACTTAAATTTAACCTCGAGTTTGACTTAGCTCAATACAATTATACAAGTGTAATAAAGTAGCTAGAGTTTGAGGATATGAAATAATACTATTAGTCGTACCCGTGCGATGCACGGTCAATACTAAAAAATATTAATCAAATTAAATTGTGATTAAGCTTTTTAAACATTTTAGATCGTATTGCTTTAATAAATTTCAATTGTTATCTTATTTGTCAACACGATATACTCAATAATAAAATCTCTATTAAGTCACATGAGACTCATATAGTCATCGAATAATTTTTTTTGTTATACCCCAAGGTTCTGCGCTCAGTCCGTTCCTATTCGCCCTAGTGATGGACGCGTTAACACATCACATTCAAGGGGAT